TTTAATAAACACCATTACACTCCCCACCCAGCCTAAGAAATGAAGTATCAGCTAGAGATAATCACTTTCCCACTCAGATGCCTGGCTTTCCTGTGCGCATACGGGAGACTGCTATGCATGAAATGCGTGCTGCTCCCTGTTTGAAAGATCTCCTGCCTCAGCTGACTCCCTCAGCCAGCCAGCTGAGTGCTTGGCAGCTGGTTCTGTCTTCCATTGCTAGGACCCCGTGGCCCTGTTCCGGACCCTTGCCAGTGGAATTGATATTTGTTCCACTCTTTGGGTCATGCCAACAGGCACTGCCTGGTACAGAGGCTTGCTGTGTTCTATTGTATTGGCTGAGTAGCAGATGGCCTCCTTGAGGGAAACTGGAAGGACATCCAGGCCAGAGGGCAAGCCCAGGATAGGCTCCAGAGTGTTGGGCCTGCCCTTTGCTGCAAACTCAAAAAACAATAGACCTAGCCAAGATCAAGAAGGTCTCTTGGGTGCTAGGTGGTCCTGGGAGCCTCCGGGCTGGACTTCCTCTAGGAATGCAGAAAGTCTGGGAAGAGCCCTGCTGCCCAAGAGCTCTGCTATAGGTCCTGAGCCTTGGTGATCAAGATGCAGGAAGAGCATGGGGGGTAAGGGACTCCTTCCTCCAGGTAAGTAGTGGGAAATGCTCAGAAAGCAGGCTGGACTGCCACAGTTCTCAAACTTTCTGGTGTTCGGATCCCTTTATTTAAAACTCTTGAAGTAAAACTCAGAGCAAATTTAATGTGAGTTCTATCTATTGATATGTACCATATTGGAAATCAAAGCAAATGTTTTTATGCATTTTAAAGTCATAATAAAAAAAAAATTTTCAGAAAGATACTCATGTTTGCAAAAAAAAAAAAAGAGGAATGGCATTGATTTATATTTTCACAAATATCTTTACTGTCTGGCTTCTTAGAAAGCAGCAAGAGTTTCATGTACTTCTGCATTAAAGTTGTGATGTCACACTCCAGGGAAGACTCCACAGTCATGGGGTTGTGAGAGCATAAAGACCTGTCCTTTCAGTATTATGCAAATAGGCCTGGCCTAGTGAACCGGAAGACTCCTAGGATCCTGGAGTCACTGGGCTGGAGTAGGGTGAGGAGAGGGGGCTGCATCATGGTGGGCAGGTTCGCAGGTTATTCTGACAGAGTTTGTCCCCCAGGTGTGCTGGCGCTATGGGTCCTGGTGACGCACGTGATGTACATGCAGGATTACTGGAGAACCTGGCTTAAGGGACTACGTGGCTTCTTCCTTGTGGGCATTCTCTTCTCGGCCGTCTCCATTGCTGCCTTCTGCACCTTCCTCACATTGGCCATCACCCGGCACCAGAGTAAGGGTCCACCAGGGAGAGCAGGGTGGATATGGGTGGAGAAAGCCTAGGAGTAGACCCTAAGGTTCCAATCTTGGTTCCACAATTTATATCCAAGGGACTGGGCAAATCACTTAACCTCCCCATGCGAGGGTTTTCTTATGGTTAATGTGAGGAGAATAAAAGTCCCTGCCCCTGAGGGAGACGGTGTGAAGTGTTGAGCATAGAGCATGGCCCATGTAAGTATCCTCCAGAATGGTTATTGACACCATTTAGTCTCGCCCATCTCTGAGAAGGGTGCGCCCTCTAGTGGCTGTAACAGGAAGTGGACAGAGGCCCCGCCCCCTGCCCCTCTACAGGTTGATGCACAAACAACTTGCAAGTGGCCTGGGGTATATACATGGTACAAAAGCAGACTGTGAGATACAGACCTGTGACTGGCCAGCCCTGGCCTTCCCTCATCTCCATGGCTTCCTGCCTGCAAACACTGGAGAACTCTTAAGACTTCCAACCCGCTTCAGTCTTCCTATAGGACTGGAGTGGCAAGAGGTACAGGGATGTTTAGTGGGAAGGGAGACCAGCTGGGGAGTAGTCACCTAGTCACAATTGGGTTCTTCTCCTCTGCAGGCCTCACAGACCCAACCAGCTACTACCTCTCCTGCGTCTGGAGCTTCATTTCCTTCAAGTGGGCCTTCCTGCTCAGCCTCTACGCCCACCGATACAGGGCCGACTTTGCCGACATCAGCATCCTCAGTGATTTCTGACCCAGGGAGTGAGGTCACTGTGGTCCGGGGGGCCCTCAGGACCTGGACTTGGCCTTTGAGGCATCAGGAGGCTCTGCCCCCACCCCCTGGGGACCCAGAACTGTGTCAAAAGGAACATAGCAGTTTGAGTGCAGTTTCCCGGGAAACTGCCTGGTCCCTTTGGGGGGGAGACCTGGGTGCAGTGGAAAGGAGGTCCAGCCAGGTAGCTCATCGGCCTGGCTGGAGGGCAGCTTTAGACCTTTTCAAATGGATCTATTTTCTTAGCACTTGGTGAGCAATCTTTGTAAGTAGGACCAGGGCAACAAAGTCAAAGGGTCAAGGGTAGGACCGTGAGGCCTTGACCTATGCCTGGTGCCAAGGGCTAGGGGCAAGTGGTTTGGTCCCTGCCACTCCAGGCCCTCTCCCTGAGGCTGGGGGCGGAACCTGGTGAGGTCACATCAAGGGAGAAATCGCTAATGGAGACCTCTCGCTTCCCACCCCAGCACCCCAACCTGTTATTCCTCAAGGGTCAAGTAGCTGAAGTTATCAGTCATAGGCAACTTTTGGCTCTTTCCCCAAAGCCTGGGGAGTTGAGAGAAGAGTTCTGTGTCCTTCTTCCCACCCTTTCTCCCAGAGCTGGACTTCTGAAAGTACACTATAGCCAGACCCATTCTCCCCTCCACCCCCTGTCACATGCACACATCTACACACCCCAGAGCAGGCCTGTTTGAACTAAGGGCCACAGGGATCACACTCCTACCCCCAGAAGGGTATTGGGAAGTGGGTAACACGGTGCAGGCTGAAAAGGAGCCCTAGACCTTGTGATTCCTCCTGTTCCTCATTGCACCAGACTAGCCCCAGCCATGAGACCTTCTCCCCCAACTCCAGCCCCTGCTCACTGCCCTTCAACTAGAGCTTTTATCTTTCTAAATCTCTCTCCTGAATCTCCCTACACTGGCCCAAGGGCTCACCTAACTTGGGAGGGAAGGGGCTGTTACATGTATCTTTTTTATATTAGGTTGCCATTTTGCACGTCTCCTCCTTCTCCACTGCCCCCAGCTCTTTGCCTTATCTGTGTCACTGTCACTTTAGCGGAAATACAGCGGCCATTTATATCAAACAGTCTCTGCTTGGTCCTTGGGAGGCGTTCGTGGGGGCTGTGGGAGTGGTAGAAGGGTTTCTCTAGCCGAGTAAATCATTTCCTAGCCTGCCCAGCCAGGGAAAGGAAGCCCAAGGCACAGCCTCAGCAGCCCCTTCAGGGACCCGTGTCCTCTCCCAAGCCAGGACAGGTGGGAAAGGGTTGAGCACTTCTTCCCTCCACCCTTGCCAGGCTGCTCAGGGCTAGGGGCCAGGCTGGGAAGAATGGTGGACTCAAAGCCAGGAAGGCAGGCACTGGCGCCTCCCTTTGCTTACACTGGATGGGCTTGTCCTGGCCTGTTGCCTCGCCCATTCTTTCTTCTCATCTCATATATGCTAAAGAAGTCAGGGCACATTAGAGCAGGAAGGAACCAGAAACAATGCTACTTCTGGAGACTTGTACTGATAAACAGAGGTCTCAGGAGGTGATGTGACAGCTGAGCTCCCAGATGGGACTCAAGCCTGGGTGTGTCTGCTTCAGGACCCTTTGGAGGTGCACTGGCTAGCTATGTCTGAACACACTCCCTCTTCCTCCTACCTAGTTCCTGGATCCATGTTTCCACCCAGGGCTGCTTCCTCTTTCTCACCCTGTGGTGGAGAAAGCAGGGGCAGCTACATTGTGTTCAGAGGGCTTCTTCCTGCAGGGCAGTCGCCATGTAAGGGCAAAGGGCTGGAGAGGAGGCTGAGCCCAACCTAATTGTGCCCCTTCTTGGCCTGAATCAGATGCACATTATGCTTTAGAGCCATGTACCACGTGCTTACCCACTGACAGCCACTAGTCATCTCCAGGAACCCTCTCACAGGTACTTTAAAGCAAATAGAACATTTATTGTTCAGATTTTTTTTCCTTTTTTTTTCTTTTTTACAAAAACATGCAGACATACACAAGGTATGGTGGGTCCTAGGGAAGATATGCATGCACACGCATGCGTGCATGCATGCACACACATACACACACACACACACACACTCACACATACACACACACACTCACACATACACAAATACTTCCTTCTTGGCCCCAGGCAGGGATCCCAAAAGCCTTGAAGATTTTGCCAGGGCAGTCTGTGTCTAGTCTCCTGCCCTCTTCCCCCTCAGCCAAGCCAGTTCTACATGGGGCAGAAGTCAGAGCTGGGGCAGGAGAGACCCCAGAAATAGGCTCATGAAGGAGGGCAGTGACTGAGGGATCCCTGGGGGTTGTGTTGTGCTTCTGAGGGGAGATGAAAGTTTGGCACCATTGGATCAGGAAGCACAGGGCTCTGAGAGCACCTGTCTACTCCACCAGGGCACTGAGATGGTTGGTATAGGGTGGCTTCTGGCAGGGACAGTGACCAAATGGGAGGTCTGCAGGTGACTGCTCTCAAGAGAGGTTTCAGAGGAGCTTTCAGTGCCCAGTGGTGCAAGAAAGCTTCCAGAGGCACTGGAGGAAGTAGGTGAGAGACAGAACTCCCTCTGCACTCAAAGATAGGGGTCTCCTTGCCACCCACCTCCAGCCCACAGAACCTAGGAAGGGCCACCCTAGCTGAGGTCAAGTTCACATTTCTGCATGGAGCCTGGGACTGTGTGCAAAGACTGGGGTCTGGAGAGCCAAGTATAGTGGTTAAGGGCAGGCCCACTTGTGCCAGTCCTCCTCTGTGCAGTCCTGAGGCATGGAGGCCACAGCTGGGGGCCCAGACACAGGAGGGTTAGACTCCATTCATAAGAGCCCTGCTAGGGCCTGGCGCACAGCCTGTCTGCTTTCAGGGTCTTCTCTGGTCCCCATGCAGTAATCGTCAAGGCAGTTCTCAAGCCTTGATCTTCTCAAGCCTCGGGCCTTCTCAAGCGCCCATGCAGTAACTGTCAAGGCAGGCTGTTCTGACCCCAACAATCTGTGCACAGGATCTAAGAAGACCCAGGAATAGGGCTGGTGGCAGAAGTTAGGAGAGCCATGTCCGAAGGGTAGAATGGGTGAGCGAATGTGTTCCAAAGTCTTAGAGATTCATAGGTTCTTCCTCTTCCACCAGCTGTTCTGAGGGCCTGAGGGAGGGACGAGGGCTTCAGGCACAGCCTTAGCAGAGCTTCCCTCACAACCCTCGTAGCTGGGTGGCTACATGGGGTTTTGGAGTCTTCAAGTTGGGAGGATCTGAGGGGGTAAAGAGACCATGGGACCAGGAGCAGGGGTCTGGCATTACCTCTCCTCCGTGAGGAGGCCCACAGAGAGGGAAGCCAGCGCAGTCACAGCTTCTACTTCTTCTGCATCGGCCCCTGGCACTCTGGGCACCCAGGAGTCTGGACAGGAGGCCAGGCGCTGCATGCAGCCCCAATATTTACCTGAGACAAGAAGCCAGGTCAGAAAGGTTGGGGAAAACAGTCCTCCCACCCTGCATCCCAGATCAGACATGATGCTAGTGGCTTGGGCCCAGAGCCCAATAGTGAATGAATCCTCAGCTTGGTATTGGCTCTCTTCTTGGCCCCCTCCCCCAACTCACCCCTCCCTCCACAGCTCTGAAGGGTAAGAGCAGGTTCAACATGGCTATGAGGTATCCTTGCAGTTGCCCAAATCTTCCCCATCCCCACTGACTAAAAGGCTACCTCCCACCATTCCCCATATGTATGGGGATCTTGGAAAGCACCAGAAGGGCCCACTTGCCACTAGGATGGGGTCTCTGTCAATTATCTCATACATCCCTGAGCTCTGGCATCCTGGAGCACAAGGTCTCATACAACCCCCACCTGTGCTCAGCCCCACCCCCAGGACAGGGGAGTGTGGACTTGGGAACACGGCAGCCCTATCTGGACCATGGGAATGCTCATCCTGCCCACAGCTGTGAGCAACACTGGACATGGAACAGTCTAGCACAAAAACTTAGGAAAAATTTCGGCACTTAGGAAAGCTCCGCAAAGGCTCAGCCATGTCTATACTATTTTGTACACCTCTTTGGCCAAGTCCTTGATGTGGGGACTCTATTTTATTCATTTTTTTTATCCCTAGCATAGATCATGAAGTGCTCAACGTATGTTATGTTGAAGTTGAAACTTTAAAGTGCTTTCCAAATATGGGGGTTATTCTAAAACCCCAGCTCTAAGCATGTAGAACTCCCAAGAACCCTATGGCCAGAACTGAAGGGGAGGGATAGGAACCAGCCTTTCAGCAAATAAGGCCTGAGTGTTGTTGTCAGCCTGGCCCTGGTGCAGGGCTGTGGCGAGAGATGTGAGGCCAGTCCCCTCCTTGAGGAGGTCACTATCTGGTGGGCCCTGCTGGGTCCATCTGGAGAGCTAATGGGAGGCTGCCCACCAATACTGCTGAGTGTTTTGCAGGAATCCCTAGGATTCTGGTGTCTAGAGTCATTGGAATCCTTGGGATCCTTTCCCCTGGGGGTAGTAGATCGCTGAGCTTCTCCCAAGTTTGGGATCAGCAGGTGTCCCGTCACACACTCACTGTGCACCCGGATCACGGCTTCCAGAGAGCGGATTGCATTAAGGTTGGGTTTCTGTTTCCAGCCTTCTTCTGAAAGGGGATCCACCTACAGAAAACAGTCCACCAGTCACCAGTCTCTCAAGGACTTACAGGCCCAGCTCTCTCCAGAAGGGCCCTCGCCTTCTGGACAAAAACAGGTACGTGCTCCTGGCTCTGCCCAAGTCAGGAGATGCTGACCCCAGATCTGACTTGGAAAGAGGCGTCCACTGTGCCTACCTCATTCCCCTGCCCTATCTGTCTGCCTGCTCTTGAGAGTAGGCCTGTGAGTGCCTACCTCATTCCCCTGCCCTATCTGTCTGCCTGCTCTTGAGAGCAGGCCTGTGAGAGCTGGCTCACCTGTCCTATAGCAGCAAGGGGCAGGGGCAAGGGGCAGCTCACCTTGTTGCCTAGAAGAGCAGCCACACAGGCCTCAGAGGCATCACAGATGGCTGTGAGGTCATGGCCACCCTCCAAGGCCAGCACCACTGCACCTCCTGCCAGGTTCATCAGTTGCTGCGTCATGTACCCAAAACCTAGATGGTTGGTTAGTGGGGAGAAATAGGAGGGAACAGGGATGGAGGAGAGGTGGACCCACTCTCCATGTCTGATGTTTCTCTGCTTGCTTCTTCCATAAATAAGGACTCAAAGGCAAAGTGCTTTCACATGGAATCCCATACAAATCCTATCACGGTGCTTCATCCAGGGCTCAGAGCAATTAAGAGACTTGCACAAAACCCCATGGCAGTAAGTCACAGGGCTAGGGCTCGAACCTGGGGAATCAACTCCAGCCTGAGCCTTTTTCATTGAGCCACACCACCTCTTCTCTGTCCCCAGGGCCCATGACCCATCAGGCTGCATGTGTACCCTCTGTTCTCCGGACACTGCTCCTCCCCATCCTCCCTCTAGAGGAACTGACAGCCCTGCTTGGAAACCAGAGTTGGGGCGCGGAGTTCTTTGGCTGAATTTCCATCTGTTAGATGTCAGTCTCCAGGGTCAAGGCCTCCATGATAAACTGACCTGGTCCTGAGAAGGGATCTGGGCTGTGCTAGGCTGGGAGATCCCAGTGAATTTCAGGGCCAGCTGCCATACTCCAGTCTTTGCACTCAGCCCTGGGCTGGCCACTGCCACCTTCCCCTTTAGATGTGGGCAGTGCATCCCCCCCCACCCTCTCCATCCCATACAGCCTGGCTCTCATTCCCTACACACCCTGCTGGCTGGGGCCCCCTTACATTTGGCAGAAACATGATAGCCACCCAGTGGAGCTGGGTGACCCTCAGCAGCATCAAACCCAGCAGACACCAGGACCAGGTCTGGAGAGAACTCACGGGCGATGGGCATCACGACTATCCTGTGAGGTTGCAAGGAGAAGAGGGGCCTGGCACACAGCACAGAGAAGCCAGGGCCAAAGCCAAGGCCCTGCCTATGCCAGCCCTCTCCTGCCAACTGTGCTGGGGGCATCCTGCTTTCAGGATTCCAAGACACTCAATCTCCTAGCAGGATTTAACAGATCCCTCTGATTTCCTTGATCTTGGCTGGCCACCATGTCCCTGTTATACACAGCCTGAGAACTCAGTCACACAGGGAAGTTAGCTAGCAAGAGGCAGAAAGGGACCAAGGATGGGCACCAGATGGGAAAAAAGCATAATGTGTGTGTGTGAGAGAGAGAGAACCTTTAGAGGGCAATGGGCAGGGCCACAGGGAAGGGACAATCTCACAGCCAACTGAGCAGGACTCTGGTCACTAAGCCTTGGGCACTGAAAATGATCAACACCCCACTACTTGCCACTGGAGAGCTGACCTGGGCAACTAGACCCTCAGGTACTAGGCCACCAAATTCCCCGTATCCTTTCTCCTGGAAGACTCCCAACAGCTATACCCCTCTAGCCCTGATGCAACTCTGGGGTACATTTTGGTCCATTCTTTAAAAAGCCCTGGGCACAGATACCAGGAAGTCCACCCAGGGCTCCTATGGAATTAGCTCTCATGGAGAATATCTCTAAAATGTCTGGAGATCTACTTCCCAGATCCCTTTCCCTGAAGGAAGTACAGGGGCCCAGAGTGAAAGAGGTAAGGGCTCCTGACAGAGCCTGAAGCTCTTCTATCTAGTTTTTTGAAGTAGCTCCTTCAATATGGCCATCATCTCTTTTCTCTTTTTTCCATAGTTTTTCTCCTCTCTTGCTCAACACCCACCTCCTCCAGGCAGCCTTCTTTGAATATGATGTCTCTGCTCCCTACACTCTGACCATCTCCTGACACTCAGCTCAACACTGGCTCTTGGTAGTGTGTGACTTAAAATTTTAAGTACTCTTAGACTTTCTCATTGTGTGCATCTCATCTTCCCATTAGGGCTAGCCTACAGCATCTAGTAACGGAGTAAGGACAGGCGGACATGCCAGCTGATCACCTCCAACCTGGTGCTGGAGAAGAAGGGGCAGGGCAGGGTGGCCTTGCTGAGCTGGGCCTCCTCTGGGTTCCCAGAGTATTTTTACCTGAAGGCAGCCAGGTACTCAGGATCCCCTATGGGGGGTTCCAGGCCTCCAGCCCAGGCCACGTTGACATTGAAGCCCTCACCACTGCCAGCCCCCACCTGGGAAACAGGACAAGAGAGACATGAGGAGAGCAGAGGCCCAGAAGAGGAATCTCAGGATGCTGGTGCTGCAGGAAGAGCTCGTCAAGACTCTTCACTTCCAGATGGGGAAACTGAGGAATGGAGAGGTTAAGCAATCTGCCCAAGATCACATAGCTCCCATGGCAGGGACAGGGCAAGGGCAGGAGGAGAGTCCTGATGTGTGTTTACCTCTTCTACAGCCCCACTGCCTGGGAAGAAGTTGCCGTCATCGTGTCGATGCAAGGAGATGTAGAGTACACTGGGATCCTGATAGAAGGTTTTCTGGGTGCCATTGCCATGGTGAACATCCTGTGCAGGGTGGTGGAGATTAGGGAAGTTCCAAAAGCAGAGAAATAGAGGCCAGGATGTGTTGGAAGGATTTCAAGGTTGGTGACCATTCTGAAGGTCAGGACCCTAGACCGGGAGTTAGGAAACTAGGGTTCCTAGAGCTACATGGTTGAGTAGCCCCAATTACTCTATGGAACCTTATCTTTCCATGTGGAAAGACGTTCTCTATGTATACATATATATGAGTAATATATAAATCATTTCTCTCTACCTATCTGCCTTTCTATCAATCGAAATAGATATCTAGATATCAAGATGGCTAGCTAGGGTAGGCCAGACCACAGGAGAGAGGAGTGTGTGGGGGTGAACCAGTATCAGGTAAGGAAAAAGTACAGAATCATGCTCATAGTCCTACTGCATCTTGTCCAAGTGTGTGATCAGAAACCAAGCTCAGTGACAGAGGGTCAGGTACATGAGCCCAGTCCCATCCCTCCTAAGAAGAACTGGGTCCTGCACTTGACTCACGGGACCATGCATGGGGTCAAGTGTGCAAAGTTCCTCCACTATTCTCAACTTCTACTTTCACGGCTGTCGGTGCAGAAGAAATGTATCTTAGTTGTTAAATGCATGTACTCTAGAGCTAATAGGCCTGGGTTCAAATCCTAGCCTCACATATCATGAGGTGAGTGAGTGTGCAAGTTACTTCATTTCTCTGTGCTCACTTTCCTCATCTGTGAAATGGGTTATGGTCAGGATCAGATATAAAACCAGTGTCTGGATGGGATTAGTGATATAATGATGTTCTCTGATGTTATTGTTATTGTCACTACACATAGGGAAAATGCAGAAATCACTAGATCTGCCAAAAGAAGCCAACAGAGACCAAAAGACAACACTCAAATGGAGCTCCTACCCACCGTGGGTGTGTGTATGGGAGTCCCAACACTGTCTCCTCTGGGCCTTCCAACAGCTCTGTGATATGATGCTATCTATCTTCACCCAAACTTTGCACAAGAGAAAACTGAGGCTCAAGGAGGCTTAATGCAGGCTCAAGGCATGCAGCCACAGCTCTCATATCAGGCTCAGGACTCCTTCAGTGAGCCTTTGAATCTAAAGGTGCAAGGAGCCAGGACCTACCCAGTCTACAATGAGAATCTTGCTGGCCTTGCCCTGTTGTTGCAGCTGCCGGCAGGCTATAGCCACTGAGTTGAAGAAGCAGAAGCCCCTGTGAAAAGCAGAGCAGGTCCTGTTAGCCCATTCATTCCCCATGCTGGCATCTCTCCAGTTCCCTATCCCCCAGCACCTAGCGTGGCCCAGCCTATGAGAAGGCTCTGAGGGCCTGTCCCCACCTCATCCCACCCAGGCTTCTCCCAGTCCTTACATAGCTGTGGAATGATCTGCATGGTGTCCTGGGGGCCGCACCACAGCAAAACCATTCTGGAAAGGGAAAGAGTGCCTGTCACCAAACAGCCAGTCCTTGACCTGCATCTGCATAAACCTTCCCCCAGGGCCCGGTCTCTTCTGAGAAGTGGCCACAGTGCAACAGCTGCCAACATGTCTGACAATGTCCTGGCTGGTGCTGAAGTGGACCAGGCCTTGGCCCCCATGCTGGGTGTCCACTGCTTTTAGACTGAACTTGAACAGAGAATCCTTCCCTCTTGTGTTCTGGTGGTAATCACTTGGCAGTGACAGCTACTGAGTGTTGTGTAAAAATTACACACCTGGCCCTGTGCTAAACACTTTCTATGTGAGCCACAGGATAAACATCATCACCATTTCCAGTTCACAGATGAGGAGGAATCCAGAACTTAGGTAAGTTAAGTAACATGTCCCAAGATGCCTGGTTGTAAATGGTGGAGCCAGGATTTTAATACCAGAGTTGTGCTAATTGCAAAACTTGGCCAAGGAGAGCTGACACAGAGCACACTGTAGGCTATAAGGTCCTACATGGCAGGCATGTACACCTCCCTAGAAGGTGCCCAGCTTAGAGCAAACAAGCATGACACTAACGGCTGTAGAGCCCCTTGGCCCTACATAAAAGCAACAGGCTAATGCATGAGGTCCAGAGATGGCCTATGATTTATCTACAGCCATGCAGTGGGTCTTAAATGGTCCTGGATGATCAGGACCCTGTGTCTCTAAGAAACCAGTGTCCAGGGGCAGAGTGGCTTGATTCCCCAAGTAACACAAATCTCAGGTTCAAATCTTACCCTGCTCCTCAGAGCCCTCGATTTTGCCTCCCAAACCTTGTGGCAATATCCAAGAGGAATGAGAGGTCAAGCATTCGGGCTCTGAATCCCGCTTCCCCATCCTCTGCCTCCTCCACGGTTTGCCTGCCTTCAACCAAAACCTCCTACCTTTAGCTCACGGGAAGCCACTTTGAAGGCGAGGTCAGTGACGCTGCCAGAGGCCCAGCGGGCTGCATTGGAGGAATGCAGCTCGTTCCAGATGGTGTCAGTATCCACCTGTGGGGGCCAGAGTCAGAGCCCGCATCATCCAAGGCTTCCCACAGGAGCCAGCACCCAGTGGGGTGGTACCCATCCCACGGCCAGGACCCCAGGGGCAGGGAGCTGGGCAGACGGCGCTGCCTCCCCAGTGCCCCACCGCCCAAAGGCAAGGCCTCCTGTGTCCCCCAATCCCAGCAGGGCTTCTCCTTCCCAGCATAAGTCCCAGCACCAGCCTATTTGTGGCCAGCATTCTGCTGGCAGCATCACGCCTGCCTCCCCGGTCAGGGGAGGGGGCATGGCGTTACCTGGGCGGGATTGGGGTTTGGGCCGGGAGGGGGTTTTAAGCCCCAGCTGACTCTGCTCAGGCCCTGCGGGACGGTCGGAGCTGGAGGGGCCGTCTGCACCACTGTCTTCCACTCAGGGCCCCTAGCCCAGGCTGGGAGGCCCCCCAAACCCAGTCCCTGGGCCTCAAGGCTAGGGAGGGGCCGGGGGGCATGATGGGGAGATGGGGAGGGCGAGGCGGACCAAGAGAGGCGAGGAAGGCAGAGAGAGTCGCAAGAGGCTGGAGAGAGAGAGAGAGAGAAGGACAGAGAGGGAGAGGAGGGAGGAGAAAACAGAAGCAACAACAGTTGGAAAAACCAGAAAGTGGCAAGAAATGGGGAGTTGTGAACAGGGCACTGACTGGCTCCCAAACAGCCCCCCACTACAGCTCCCATTTTCTCTGAACTTGACCTCCATCCCCTGCCTTCACACACCATGCTTGATACCACCACAGGGAGAGCCTTGCCAGAGCAGGCAGGAAGCCCTTGACAGGTGAGGAGTGAAGAAGCAAAGCTGGGGGTCGGGGGGCTGTGTCCCGGCTAGGGAAGTTCCTGGATCTCCAAGGACACAGGGAGAACCACCTCAGCCCCACACTAGGCAGCCCAAGGACGGGGACTAGCCTGAGGCCACTGTGACTGCTGACAGGCCCACTGCAGGGCAGACAAAGGAGCCTGGGGGCTGGCGTGGAATGGCTCATGCCCAGCCACTGGCGCCTTAATGAGAGGGGACAATCTTAAGCCCCAATTTTGGCCTTGCTCTTTGGGCCTCAGTTAATATCTACCAAACATCTTCTAAATAGGTGGAGGCACTGGACTCCACAATCAGGGACACTGATGGACCCAGGATACACCCATCCACAAGGAGATTCCAGCCAGCAGAGGGGCATCATGGGAAAGTCCCTGGCCCACCAGGTCTGGCAGGACCACAAGAACAGCCAGTGGGGGCTGGGCCTGGGAAAACTGAAGGGAGGAGAGTCGAGAACACTAAGCAATGCCCACTGTAGACCTCTGGGCACACTTACCCCAACCCCACCACAGGGCAGCATCACAAACATCCGCTGTGCCAGGAGCCCTGTGGGGAGAGGCCCAGTCCATGTGAGTGTGGATGCTTTCAGCCTCTGGTGTGGCTGGGAGCAGGGAGGCCCAGAAGAGGCCAGGTAGGAAGGTGTTGAGGGAGAGAAGCCGGGTAGGGAGAGGAGTAGCTGGGCAGCAGAGGGATGGGAACAGTGAGTTCAAACGGGGATGTCCAGGAGGCTGGAGGAGGCCGACCCGGCAGGATGGAGAAAAGAGCATGGGAGTGGGTAAGGTGGGTGTGCTCGGGGAGATCTGGGGCCAAGCACCATCCATCTCCTACCTTCCAGCTTCCCATTGTCCAGTTTGAGGCGGCTGAGTGGGTTGGTGCCATAGAGGAGCACATGTCGCTCAGAGTGGACTGACTGCAGTTCCTCCAAGGAGGCCTTCCGGCCCCGGAGACACTGAGGAAGAGCCCACAGAGCTCCTAAGCCTTTGCCTACCCCTCCGCTTCCATGGCTGCCCTCTCTCATCTCTCACCCTTTCTTCCCTCCCTTTACCTTTACCTCCTCGGGCTCTGAGACCCCCACCCAGCCTCCTTACCTCACACTGGCTCCGGAGGCCTCGCTCCTGTAGCCGGGACCAGATGCTCTGGATGCGGCCAGCGTGCTCTGGGTGCCTGCTGTTGTCTCCACAGGAGCACTGATGCTTCAGCATGACTGAGTCATAGACCAGCCCTGCCGGGAGCAGGGTTCAGGGCAGGTATGCCAGAGAGCACCCCAACCCCCCCGACAGTGAACTACTGACAGATCACCCGGTGCCCACATGGATCCAACTAGAGTCAGGCATGGCACCACACACCCCGTACAGACCAGCATTCCTCATCCTGCCCCGCTGCTGAGCCCTAACCCTGCACCTCCATATGCACAACTCCACGAGTGCCGGGGCAACTGGACAGCCTGATGGACAAATCAACACAGGGCCAGCCAACAGAGCTGCCCCACGGCCGCTGCCTCCCCACATGATCCATCACATCTACCATGCCCTCAAGGGCTCGGGGAATAAACAGCCAGACTGACAGCAGGCATTTCCCTCTGGGTATCATGAACCCAAAGGCCACTAAGGGGGAGCAAGAGGAGAACGAATTCCCAGGGAACCCCCAAACTGGGAGCTAGGTACTCCACAATAACACAAGGCCACATCATACAATGACCACAGCTCTGGAGAGTGACTACAGCCAGCTCAGCCAGCTTTCCCAACTGGGAATCAAAGTATTCAGAAAAAAAAAAAAAAAATTTCTAGGTACTGAACATGTACAGACATTTCTTCTTTGTCATTATTCCCTAAACAATATAATTATCTATCTATTTGCACAGCATTTACATTGCAGTAGGCATTATAAATACTCTAAAGATGATTTAAAGTATATTGGGAAGGGCTGGGGATATAGTTGAGTGGTAAAACGCTTGCCCAGGATGCATGAGGCCCTGGGGTTCAATCCACAGCACCACACACAAAAGAAAAAAAAAAGAAAAGTAAGTGTGAGGATGTGCACAGGTCATATGAAAATCCTATACCATTTTATATAAAGGTCTGGAGCATCTGTGGACTTTAGTATTCTTGTGGGGTACGAGGTAGGTTTCTGGAACCACTCCACAGGGACCAAAGAATTATTTCAGCCTGTCCCAGGGGAAGCTTCTAGAGGTCGGTAGAGGTGGGCGTGGCGTGGTACACTTCTATGGCAGGGTATCTGCATATCTTGGGACACCACAGACCTTCAAAATGCTCAGACCGTTTGACCCAGGAATGCTACTCCTTAAGAATGACGCTCAGAAAATAATCCCAAGATGAGTAAAGACTTATGCATAAGATAATTAAAATGAGGAAAAATGAATAACAATCTAAACATCCAACCAATAAGAAATAAAATAAAAATAAAACCCTGAGATGAAATAAAAGAATCTCAGTTTTGAAGGTTAATTATATCAAGACTAACTTAATAAAGCAGGGTACAAAATCTAGTCAATGTATTCATGGCACCTGCACAAGTGCATCTAGCCAGAACACAGCCTGTACTGACATATAGCAGAATTTAACATGAGTGACTTCTGGGTGGTGGGACACTACTTAGGAACTTTTATTTGATAATTATGCTTTTCTATATTTTTCAAAATTTCTGAAATGCTTTTGAGCTTTTTAGAAACAAAACAACAGTAATAAATAACATTTTTGAAAGTGGGTAGACATGGTGGCAGGGGACTCAAATTCTTATACTGGCCTGCTTGTTACATTACTAGAGGCTTGTCACAGGTTCCCTGAGTCTTGGTGTCCATGAGTAAAACAAATACTTATCTATCCACCTGCTTCATGGGAGACTGTAGGGGTCCAGTCAGACTAGGAAAGCACTCTGAAGTCTCTAAAAATGTCCCAAGTGCTATCATGTACAGACAGGGACTCGTGTTCCCAGGCCCTTCCTTCTGCCCCGCACTCTAATCCTGGCTTACCTGTGGTGAAGGGCAGGGTCCTGGGGGGTGCCTCTGGATTGGTGAGGACTCGGGCCTGGCAGGTGGGCTCTGGGGTCGGTAGAGAGGCAGGTGCAGCTGGGGAAGACTGAGTCCTGGACAAGGGCCGGTGTCTGCCCTGGGCCAGAGGAAGCAGCACAGAGTCCCCGATGCTTCCCCGGGAAAGCCGCCCAGCCAGCCGCTGCTGTTCCCAGAGCAACATCTGAGGGAAAACAGGGGCCTCAGTCTCTAGTTTCTCAGAACCTGCTCCATCTTCTCCTAACCAAAGTCTTAGGAACCTCCAGGAACACCCCTTTCCTGAAGAGATTCCAGGATGCATCTAGCCCTGCTTCCCACCTAGGCTCTGGCCTTTGACTCTCTGAGACTCCTGCCCTCAACAGGCCCCTTGAAGACCTGCACCCGAGATTGACCACCCTGTTCCACCAGAGCTCCCTGGGCACTTCAGCTCACTCTGACCAGGATCTCCTCATCTACAAGGGCTATGCTAGAACACAGGGACTTGCAGAGGCACTGTACATAAATGGACTATTATCAAGTATTATCATGAAATTGTGTCCTCCACCAAATTCATACACTGAAGTCCTAATACCCATGACTTCAGAAAGTAGCCTTATTTAGAGACAGGCAGGATCTTTGCAGAGAAAATCAAGTTAAAATAAGGTCATTAGGGTGAGCCCTAATACGATAGAACTGTTGTCTTTATAAAAAGAAAAAAAATTTGAACACAGACTGGGGGAAGACAGTGTACAGGGAGAAGACCACTGTCTGTATGCCAAGGAGAAAGTCCTAGAACAGATTCTCCCTCACGGCCCTCAGAAGGAAACAATCCTGCAAAGACCTAGATTTCAGACTTTCATGATTGCCTATCTACCTCCCTTCCCCATCTTAGGCCAGGCTCTAGGCCTTCTGACTACACTTTCTGACAGGCAACTTGGGCACAGCCATACCTGCTGGTGCTGTGGAAGAGAAACGGGGCCTCTGGCTTCAGGCTGCCCATGGCTTGATTCCCTGTGTTCCAGGACATCATCCACCACCTGCCCTACTCCCCGGCCATCGGTCTCTAGGTCCTCAGCTGAGGGTATCTGTTGCAGTCGGGGCTTCTCACTCATCTTGGCTGGCCTCTGGGGAGGTGAGATGGCTGGCTAAGAAGCCAGGTGGAGCAACGGGGGTGAGGTGGGAGGTGGTGAGCTGGGCAGGGCAGCCATTCATCTTGCTAGAACTCTGGTAGTCATTTTCTCTTTTGCCTCCCAGGTTCCTGCCCTCCATAAGCCCCCTTCTTCTTTCCCAGGATCCCAGTTAAGCATCCCCTCAGTCCCTCCTCTACCCAGTTCCTCTCACCTTGATCAGCTGGATGTGAGGTTTGAGCCGCTCCGGGCGGGTCTGCAGGGGGCCCAGCAGTGGGGAAGCAGTGGCACTGGGGGGCAGGGGCTCTGAGCGGGTCCAGCTCAGAGGCCAATGGAGGCCTGACCCAGAGAGCCGCTCGGTGGTCAGTAGGGACTGGGCTAAGTGGAAGGGCAAGGGCCCAAGCCCCGGCACTGGAAAGAATGGGGTGGGGCATAAGGAGGGAACCATGGGGAGCCAGGGAAGGAAGCAAGGGCATGGTGGGGGCAGGGGCTTGGCAGGGAGACGCACAGGACTAAGTCTGGAAGGATGGATTCCCTCCTCAAGCGTGGCCCTTGGCAGGGTGCAAGATCCAGCCCCTTCCCAGGAGAAGCCGTAGGACTCACCAGTCAGCAGAGGGGTGTGAGAGACTGAGGGATCCAGAAGGAGAATGGGCTGCAGGCGAGAAGGCAAGGTGCCCCCAGCCTCCGGCTCCAGACCATGGGGCAGGAAGAGGGGAGCATGGGGGCTCCCCAGGACTGGACGAGGGCCCAGAGCTGGATGGGTCCTGCGGTCACCATCACCCTAGGGGAAAGGCAGGGAGATGTCATGGGGAGAAGATTCCAGCAGAGGACTGTGAAGGTGATGGGGTGTCAGACAGTAGGACAAGGGTGTGAATGAGGCTGGATGAGCTTGGAGTGAGGGAGAGGCGCCCAGCCACTCACCCTGGCAGGGGCGGGCAGCCCCAACGTGATTGTGGGCAGCAAGGACACTGTCGGCAAGGCGAACGGGGCCAGAGAAGTCTCCTGCAGCCGCAGCCTCTGGCCCAAGAGCGCCTGCCATGGGGAGCAGGGCGACGGGTCACCGGTCCCAGACCTCTACCCCTGGCACGCCTTTCCCAGAACACCCAGGAGGCCCTGGTGGGGGCTGCCCAGACCCTGTGGCCCCAGGCCAGATTGGGCCACTTGCTGGAAAAAGGCTGAACCTCAGAAGTGCCCCAGGGAGCCCAGTCCCCACAAGGCCTTACCTCCGAGCCCAGGACAGGGTTGGGGCCATGCTCGCTGTCATTGGGGGAGCTGCACCCTGACGCAGGCGTGCTGCTACTACTAGGGGAGGAGTCTGAGGGTTGGGAAGAAAGGGAGGTGTAATCAGGGCCAAAGGGTAGATGCAAAGGCATAGTGTCCCCTGGTGCAGGATTCCCAGGCACCACCCCTTCCCCAACAGGTTGCCTCTGCTTCCTGACTTATTCCCTGACGAGCAGGAAGATGGAGGGCCACAGCTAGGCTATAGCATCTTGGGCAATTTTTTTGAAAGGTGCTCCCTTTTCAGACAAATGTCAGTTTGCCCAGCAGGAGCTGCCTATCAACCCCAACTCACCTCACAGTGGATGTGTGGGACACAGTACAACACACTTGGTAGCCCCCAAAGGGAGACCCCTGTCTACTAGGGGTAGGGGGGACCCAAAGGGTCAAGATCAACTAGGGCCTAGGACAACCCCACCCACTCTGCTGGCCCTCACCTCCGAAGGTCTCTGCCGGCCGTCGCCGGAGACTGGGTGGCGCACTCTCTTTTCTAAGCAGTGGGTTCTTCCTCCGCTCCAGGGACTTCTTAGGTTTGTAGCGTAGTTTCAGGTTGGGCTCAGAGACTGGCGGGGAGTACCAGCATTACTCAAGCCCTAGGGCAGCCACCCTTCTCTCCTCTGCCCTTAGGTCCCTCCCCTTCCAGCTATGTAAGAGAAAACCCCACAGCATGCTGTTCCTGCCCAACCCAGCATCCCAGCCCTCCTGGCTCTGCACTACTGACCCAAATTCAAGGCCCTTCCCCTAACCCTAATCTGAAGAGTTCCTGTCTGTCTGTCCAGCTCACCTGTTTTACGCAGGGGGAAGTGTTCTGGGGGGTCACTGGGCAGGCTGGGAACAGGAGGCAAAAAGCTGCTGAGCATGGAGCGGGCAGCTCCTTCTGTATCCAATGGTTCAAGGGTTCTGTGGAGTGAGTGCCAAGGTGCTTCAGAGGGGCGGACACCCAAAGGCCCATAGAGACCTCACACTGCACAGCCGCCTTCCTGAATGTGGGCCCTGGGACCTGCCAGGGAGGCAGAGATGACAGGGCCAGGCAAGAATGGGAGCCATCTCCAGGTGGCAGCAGTGGGCTACCCATGCTACCCAGCAGCCATAATGCAGACCTCCAATCTAGGCACAGAAGCCAGAGTCTGGGTGCTTGGTAACAGGCCCACTAGGGACTTAGTCCCCTGCAATAGAAACCTGCTCTAGGAACTAGGGCATTTTTGTGCTTAGGGGAAAACAAAGAGAGACAGAGTCTCATGTGCAAAAGAAAGCCCGGATGGAGTGTGAGTATGTGTACAGGAAGGGTCTCAGGTGAGAGAAGGAGAGAGAATGAATGGAGAGAAGGCAGACATTGGTTGAGGTGTGTCTGGAGGTGCATTATGTGTATAGGAAGGGTGATGGGCCCTGGGGAAGAAAGGGGGTTGACAGGGTAATATGGGGGTGGGGGAAACGTATGTGGGAGGAACCCGAGGGACAGGTGGGGACAGGGAGCTACCTGTAGGGAATGCTGGGGCTGTTGGGATGGACTGTTCTCTCCAGAGCTGCTTGCTGTTTCTTCAGGATCACTTCTGCCAATTTCTGCTTGACCACGCTGCTGGCTACAGCACCTGTGGGGCAAAGGGTCAGAAGTGGGCTGGGAGAGGGGAAACAAGTGGCCTCCCAGAACATTCTCTGCCATTGCCCTGTCCACATCTCCAGTACACAGTGTCCCAGGGACTCCTCAGGCAAGAGCCAAGCCTAAGGCCTCACCTCTCCCATGAAGCCTACAGACACCCCCACACCCACCTCCATTTATAGGCAAGCAGAGAATGACCCAGCAGCTGTGACCCTCCCATTTAACGCTTCCCAGGCCCAAGGGCAATCATGGACACCCAAGTGGGGGCGGGCAGAGATCCCATCCTTACTTCGCTTGCTCTTGTCCTTATTGAGAAGCTGCCGCAACTCTTGCTCCTGCTGTGCCCCCTGCAATTCGGGCATCATCGGTGGGTCCATTGAGAGCTGTGGGTGGGGCCAGCAGCCCAAGAAGAAGCAGGAGTGGAGGCCTGAGACTGGGGTGGAGGAGGCTGCAGGGAGAGAGGGAGGGAAGGCATGTGCAGGGAGCTCCGTCTTTACCCTCATGGGCTCGGCTGTGCGCTGCTGCTGCTGCTGCTGTTGCTGCTGCTGTTGCTGCTGTTGCTGCAGGCCTGCTAGGAAGAGGTGGCGATGAAGGCGCTGAGGATGCTGCAAGGCCAGCAGTGTGGGCTCTGGCTGGGGCTCCACTGCGGGCCGCTGGCCCACTCGCAGGTCCATGGGCTGGAGCTGAGGGCTTGGCGTGTCTGCACGGGGCGTGGGGCAGCCTGTGGACAGAGGGGCAGGGTCACTGGAAAGCTGATCTCCAGAGACTTGGGCACAGGCAAACTCAGCAACAGCAAAACACCTCCAATGGGCCTTTTCTCTTCTTAATCCTGGCCTGCAAGTAAGTGCTATCAATTCTATTTTGCCTGTAGGAAAGGCAGTCATAAAATTACAAAGCCCCTCTACCACTGCATTAATCACTCCTCCCCAGGCCTGGGCTGAGGGCTATGGGGATTCACTCACACTGCATCACTGCTGCAGCGGTACATTCTAGGCTCCACCCTCTCCTTCCCTTCCTTCCCTCTGGAATGAGGGGGTTTGCCCAGCTGCCCTCTAATGGGTTAGGCTCACCAGCAGAGATCAGACAACAGACCCTAAATTGTGACCTCTTGTACTCTGTCGTGAGTCCTGGGATTCAGAAGTGATGGCTGGGGCCCGTAGCCAGCCCTAGTTGACCACCCTGGACCTGTTCCCAGTGTGGAACACTGTTCCCAGTGCAGCTTCCCTCAGCTCATCAAACCCACATGCTCACAGAGGCTGCTCCCAGCCCCTCCAGGCCAGCTCTGGGCCTGGCCTGGTGAGGACAGCAGGCTCAGCTGCCTCTTCTCCAGTGTCCTCTGCACCCACGCCAGAAGCACCCTGCCAAGCCCGTGGGTGCAGGGGTTATTTATAGTTAGCCACCAGACCAGGGTCCATGCCAGCATAGCCAGCTGGGCCAGGCTGCACTGAGCAGCCAGAGACTTGGAGATACTGGGAAGTGGAGCTGCAACAGGGGATTATCCTGGGGAAGGGAAAGCAGGAGGAGGTGGGAGCAGGCCATTCCCACTACAGGACACACCATGAGGGAAACTTCCCCAGAGAGCCTCCTTCAGGCATCTCTTTATGGAGCAGCCACAGCTGTCCTCTGGGCCTGGGGCTGAGGGGACTAGAAAAGCATCCTGGCAAAGTACCAGTTAGGGAAGCAGGAAATGCAGCCTCTAGGACCAACACAACCACTAATCACGGTCTTAACATCTGTAGTGCACCAAGTGCACAAGAGTCAGCAAAATCTGTCATCTCATCACCTCCACCTGTCCTGGGAGGTCATTATTACTATTCTGATATGCCAGATGAAGAAACTGAGGCCCAAACATAAAAGGCCTGTCCAAGGTCACCCAGCTAGGAGCACGGTGAGCATGGTTCCCAGTCTTGCAGAAGTCGGTGCTCTATTTTCCACCAACTTCCAGGAAGTCACCTCCTTTGGAGGGGGTTTTTTGCTGCACAAAGGAAGAGAGGCTGACAATAGGTTGTCACTAAGGGAAATCACTCCAACACTATGACATAGACTCAAGAGGGGCAAAGTAAATAGATACCCACCACAACTCTCCAGATATCAAGAAACCTGAGAAGATGGGTGTGCATCCAGATGTGGCCACAGTAGACAATGCACAGCTTTGTCCCACTTCCTCCTGCTCCCACCTCCTCCTGCTTTCCCTTCCCTAGGATAATCCCCTGCTGCAGCTGTGTCCTCACTCCTCATTCATGTGGCTATTTAGGAGTCTAGAGTTCCATTCTGGTTGAGTCTGGGTCTCCAATGCCAACACACTCCTGCTCTATGAAAGGTCTCAGTCCCCCGAGGTTCTGGTTTACTGGCTTCCTGGGATGACTCCCCTAATGATACAGGGCTTAGGGGAAACCAAGGTTGGTCACCCAGAACTAAGGACAGTCGCTTCAGCCACACACAGGCTAGGAGCAGTTCCCCAATAGTTGCCCCATTCCTTACTCTCAGTAGCACCACCACCTAATGAGCAGAAGGCTGCTGAGAATTTAGGAAGGGCTCTGCCTAGAGTCCTGCAGAGCCTGTCAGGGTGATTTAGTATTTGAAGACTTGATAATCTGGTCCTAACTCGGCTTCTCTCAACTTGGTCTCCTACATCTGAACACAAACCCTCCTCCTCAGCTATCAGCTTCCACCCTGTAACAAGCCCAATACAGAATGTCCTCTGAATTTTTTCACAATGTCCTCCTACTAGTGTTGTCCTCACACTTCTACCTTCTACCTTTTCAAATCCTACCCATTGCTTAAAGCCCAACCAGTGTCTTTCCTCTTCCCTGGACCTAGTGCAGAGCCCAGAGTCCCTCCCTCTCAGATTTTATGTTCACTGCTCCCTGGCATGATAGGCACTTTGTGGGCAGTCCCATACCTGAGTTAAGCTCCAAGGGCAGAACTTGATTTTGTGAATTGCTCATTATTCCCAGGCCTAAAATAGTACCTGGCAAATGATAAATTCAACAAACATGGAATCAATGAATAAATCTCTGTATCTCTCCTAAAATGCTTCAGAAGGTACCCTGGCACAGTGATGGGGCTCATTAAAGATTTTGGAATGAATGGATGAACTCATGAATCAGATACCTCTCATTGGATATTCATCACATATTGCATTGTACTATTTTTTCTCTCCTTTCATTTGTGTGTTCTGTCTCCCCAACCAGCCTATAAGCTTTAGGACAGCTGGGACTGAAGCAAAGATCCTGAGTTCCATTCTCCCTTCCATACCAAATTACTAGGCATCAGGCTGTGCATTCTGAGGTGTCATTAAGGAAGAGAAAGCCTCAGACCTCTAGTCCCAAACTAGCCCTGTGGGCGTGTCCTAAACCAAAGCAGCATCAGAAAGTCCACTGGATTTTTTCCCCAGAGTGGCCTAATAACAGAGGAGGTGTGGGCCAGCAGGGAGGACAAGGAAGAGAACCTTCTCACCAAGGCAGAGGAGTCTTTTCTGTTCCACTGGAGCAGCCTGGGGCATCTTCCCACCCCTCAAGGTCTACCATGCCCTCCCTGCAGGGTCAGCTGGGAACTGAACAAGTCAACAAACAAGGACACACCTCGCCCAGTGCCTGACGTGAGGCAGGGGTCTGAGAATAAATATTAGCTTCCTACTTTCTTTCCTGTTTCACTAAACCCAGCCAGGACAAGAGGAGCATCCCGTCTTTCCTTTTCCTGTTGTGCTTCCCAGCACTGCAAGCAGCCTGGACCCAGAGGTGCCTCTGATTCCATTCCTCCCCTCCACTGGAACCCCAACTTTCCAACTCCGGGCCATCAGCCAGATCTCTGCTTTTCCAATTCCTGAGTCTTCACACCTCTTATGTCCCTTCCATCCACTTCTACCTCCCACCACAGTGTCCCTCAGGCCTGACTCTTACCTGTGCCAGGAGGACTGAGGCAGTGGGCACCCGGGCTCACCTGGGTCCCATCTGTAGAGAGAAGAGAGACACTTTGTGGGCAGTCCCATACCTGAGTTAAGCTCCAAGGGCAGAACTTGGTTTTGTGAATTGCTCATTATTCACAAATTGCTCATTATTTGGGGGACAACTGGGCCAGAGTGAAGGAGTGCTGAGAGGGGACAGGGAAGGGACAAAGGAGTAGAGAGGTCCACGCCAGATAGGCTCCCTGCTGCTGCATGCTGACTGAGAAGATCTCCAGCTCCCTCTTCTTCAGTCAACTACCGAGAGTAACTCAGATACCTCAGTCGCTTAGACCCGGTCCACAGCAAGAACTGAAGGAGGTCCCGGCTCACCCAGCAATGCCCTCAGCCTGCCCTGATTCAGTCAGATACAATCTTCCCTGGGCAGCCACATCAGGCTCCCATAGCCTGAAGGGAAAGAAACAGACTGGGGGGGAGAGATAGGAGCACAGGGTGAGGAAGTCAGCAGGGAGTAGGGGAGACCAGGCCTGGAGAGGAGAAGCAGGAGCTAACAGGCCTTCCAGGTTCGAAAAGAAAGGAGCAGGCAGGAAGAAAAAGGTTTCTATAGTTGTGGAAGGACTGGGTTATGGCCTGGAGGGCCGCCTCTGGTGGAACCTGTGAAGTGGTTGGATCTGGAACTGAGGACCCCACAGTGGGGACCCCTTTACTCCTACTGCCCCATCCTATGTCCAGCTGCCTCTGTTGCCCTAGAGAAGAGGCCCACCTCATTCTCCTTCTTGGATAATCTGAGCTCCTAGGCTCCTAAGTCTAACTCTGGCCTCCTATCCCATCAGAACCTAGGAATCTAGAGTAGAGCCCAGGGTTGGCTGGCAACAGAAATACCCCTGAGTTGGGCTGATAGAAGACAGAGGTGAGTCCCAAGGCCACCTGTCCAAGGTGGACATCTTTCCCTCCTGCCATCCCAATTCAGGGACAAGGACCAAGAGGCCAGCTGGAAGAGGCATTTGGGGGACAACTGGGCCAGAGATGGAGGAAATATTCCTTTTTTTTTTAATCCTCTTTTTTTTTTTTAAGTTGGTAGATGGACACAATAGCTTTATTTTATTTGTTTATTTTTATGTGGTGCCGGGGATTGAACCTAGTGTCTCATGCATACTAGGCACGTGCTCTACCACTGAGCCACAACTCAGGCCTCAGAAGATATATTTTCTGAAGCGCAAGCAGAAGGTGGTATGCTCTAGACCTGAGCTTCAGGGACAGTCACAGTTCCTCTTCCAGAGCTGAGAAAGGAGTACTCCATGTAGGCAGGCACTGTGGGGGAGGGGCAGCTCCAAGCACAGGGACTCCCACACTTGTGCCCTCAAACACTAGTGCCCCATTCTCTTTGGTTGGTTGATGAGAAAGTTCAGTCAGGACATGTCATCCCACCTATTCAAATTCTGCCCGAGCCCATCCCCTCTTGAGGATCACCCTGACCTCTTCTCACTTCCCACAGATTTGCTCTTTGTCCATCGCTTCACTGATCATGGTCTTGGTGGTGTGACTTGTCAAGAGTATCTGCCCCTGATAGCTTGCTGGGCACAAGGCAGGCCCTGATGGTGATGGGTGAATTGAACATATGACAGTCTCCTGACTCCCTTCCTAAAACATGGCAAGAATATTTCTCAAAGTTTGTGATCCCCAAGGAACACTTACGCTAGAGGCAGACTGCCCTCCCCCGTCATGGTAACCCCCATCCTGGGTGTCCTAGGACCTCTTCTTTCTTCTGTGGTACCTGGTCCCCCAAGAGAGGTCTCTGGTCTGGCTCCCAGTGTACTCCCAGAGACCATGTCAGCCCTCAAGTCCCCTGCCTTCTGAGAATTCTCTCCCACTTTCCCTTTAGTCCCTCCCCAAGGACTGGTTAGCAGCCTTCACGCTTGGGAGCAGAGCCAGGTTCTCTGTGCCTCTCTCCCTGGTAACCACAGATTCTGGACACCAAGCACTCTCTGGATAGAAGAAAAATTAATGACCCTGAAGTGTGTGTTGTCAAAGGAACTACTTCCAAAAGCACTTCCTAGAAAAAAAGTCTTGCTTCTCCTTCCATTCCCTGGCTCTGGGCTGAGGGCCTTCAAGTTCAGAAGAGCACAGCAACTGAGACAAGACCTTAAGAACAGCTCTCTTTGTGTCCCAGAAAGACAAAAAGCATCTCATGGCACCCGTCAGTAGACAAACTGAAATGAGAAAGCAAAACCCGCATTCAGGTTCTGGCTTGAGTTTAGGAACAACCCCCCACCCCTTCTCATTGACCTCACTGCCTCTCTTAGAGGGCTGTTAATCACTCATTTGGGGTCAGACCAAAATAAAATGAGGAGTAAATGGACCCAAGGGACCAAGAACACTCACTGCCCAGGGTTGGACTCTTCTCCACACAGCTCTCTGCAGGTTGAAGAGCTCTCTTTCTTAGAATCCTGGCTACTCCCCATTTCTATCTTCTTTGGAAGCAACTGTGTACAGTTTAAGAAGTAGTTTACTCAGTATTGGGCATCTGGGCCTACTAAGTCACCTTCCTAAATAAACCAAAGAACCTGATCTCACCCAGAACCAAGAGTCACAGAGTCCCTGACCTGCATGTTTCCCAGCCCTTGAATACCTTCAGAGTAGACATAAACAGCACAATCTACCCCATGAGCACCTAAAACAAGCTAGGTTCCCCACTACTCCTACCTTATTGCCTCAAGCCCCAGCCTTGGGCTTACTTGCCCAGCAGTTGTGACTTTACCCGCTACAAGCCTACACCAGATGGCCAGAAGACTGAGACTTGGTGATCCCTTATCTCCCAGGGGCTTCTGGCCTTGTATTGGGGTACAGTCTTTTCCAGGATCATTGTCACCCAAATGCCTTCTCCCAATGTCTCTGATGTCATTGTTCAAGATGTTCCCACCTCCCAGGACTCCTGACTAGCTGAAAAGGAAGCAAGAGAAAGGCTGGGAGAAAGCAGGCAGTAGTAGGAAGTCAGCATCCTGGGTTCAGGGCTGACCCCTTTCCCAGCCTGGGTTGCAGCCTTGGATTCTCTGTCCCTGACCCAGGAGGGGAAGTTTGACTCTACAGGGTGGCTGGCAGAGAAGGTGATATGGCTTCAGAAAGATCCAAAAATAAACTAAACAGTAGAAGAACACTGTGACGGCCAGGCCCCTGAGACCCAGCGAGGGCTGAGCATGGAGAAACTGCTCCTCTTCTAGGCATCTGCTTCTCAGAACCCAAGCTCACTAAGAGCTAATGGGGCCTTAGAGGTCATTCAGGCTGATGTTCTCTCACTTGGCAGAGGAGTAAAGAAAAAGGGGGAAGATGCTAGGTCATGATCACCCAGAAGGCCAGAGGTCCAGCCAGGCCAGGCCAGTGCAAGAAGTGGATGCAAAATATAGGTGCTTGGGCTGGGGTTGTGGCTCAGTGGTAGAGCGCTCACCTAGCACATGTGAGGCCCTGGGTTCGATTCCCAGCACTACCTATAAGTAAATAAAATAAATGTATTGTGTCCACCTACAACTAAATAATAAATATATATATATATGTGCTAACTCCCTTCACAGGAGGCCACTGATGTTGGGGCTGAAGAGAAGAAAATATGAATGAAACTTGTTTCTTACTCTCAAGAAATTTCAAATATAGCCCTTAATTTTTTAAGGGGTACTACTTAGAGATACTTAGAAAATAATAATAATAATAATAATAATAATAAAAGGGAGATCAGTAGAGTAGACAAAGAGAATCAAGGGGAGGGAGGAGGAGAGGGAAAGGGAGGGTAACTGGGGAATGAGATTGATCAAATTATGTTATATACAGGTATAAATATGGCATAACAAATCCCACTATTATGTATAATTATCATGCACCAAAACCAAAAAAATTCTAAGAGTCCAAAAGTATAAGACAAAACCTCAGTTCCTCACTCATCCCAGACTCCCTAGAACCAGCCCTTTGTAACAGCTTCTTTCTTTCTTTTTTGTCTTAAACAGGTCTAGGGATCAAACCTAGGGCCTTGAACATGCTAGGCAAATGTTCTGCCACTGAGCTACACTTCTAGCCCAAACAGTGTCTTGTGATCCTCCTCCAAAAACTTCTATATCACTATCTTGGTACTAAACTACTTTTTTTTTTTTTAATTCATAACACAATTTCTATTTCTAAAATTCTGAATAAAAAACCAAAGAAATTTAACAACTGATTATCAATTTATTAAAACAGTTAACTTACATATCTGCAATGGTGACTTCAACCTCCAATCCTGACTTAATACTGATAGAAGTAATCTGGCTTAAAGATCTCAGGGGGGCTGTGCAAATCAATGAGTATTTGACTTGTGAATTCTCATCTGGAAATGTTCCCATGTCTTGGAACCTTCACCACAAAGTGTTTTCTAAATTGCTTCGTGTTCAGATTTATCCAGAACCCAGGGGTTGAGACTAAGCTGGAAACCCCTGCCACATGAAACCTGGTAGGCCACAAACTGTGAGAAAAGTGAAGGTCCAATGCATAGAGGTCACTGGTTTTGAGGTTAGGCAGGAGTGCCAGAAACACACTTTAACCTGGTCAAGCCCGGCAGCCCTATCTGCCATCAGGAGATAAGAACACCTACTGGAAGAGGCCAGCTGAGCTCAGCAGTGCCGGCTGAGAGGTACCCAGCAGGTGAGGCTGTTCCCTCAAAGCTAGTGATCCTCACTGTTTGCATCCCAAACCTGTGTGCAGCCTCAGTCTGCCATTAGTTATTGAGTGTCTGGTCCCCACTATCCTGCCTCCTCAACCACAGACCATTTTCTCCTGGATGCCTCCCCCACCCAATCTCTTCTCCCCAATCTCTCTTAAGTACTGCCTCTTCCCTTTCTCATCCACCTGAACTTTTGTTTTGAACATGCTAAACTAAGCATGTGCCCTAGCTACCCTCCAGCCCTAACGAACCTCTATAGGCTAAAACTTCATCATGTGCCACAAGCTGTTCCAGGTGCCTTACACTTGCTAGGTTATCTAACACTTATGACAAGCCTATGAGGTGGTTACTGGTTTTATATACATGAG